AAAATGTGATTTGTTATTACATATTTCTTTTTCAATATCGTTGGATTTGTTGTTATCGTACGATATGCTTATGTTTACGATTGGATCATATAAATTCGAATAAATATTTGACATTTTGTAATCACAGGATATGATAAATCTTTTTCGAATTTAAGCTCCATTAACAATAACTATTTATATGTGATTGATAATCATGTTAAATTTTGACTACTTCAAGATTTTTTCAATTTACAGAAATCGTTTGGYGAGTAATGAAGAAATAAGAGTTGAAGAAAATTTAAAAGATTCTAAAAAGGTATGTAAAAATTATATTATTTAGAAAATGTGAAGCTTATCTTTCTTTTTTCTTAGATTTTTGATTTTTTAAAACGATGGAATTTTTAGAAAATGAATTGTTTTGGTAATTTTATAAAGTTTAACCCCCAAACTTTTCATCTTCATTCTTGATATTTATTATATTATTTTCATCTTTTCATCTATTAATTAAAATAAACATACAATAATTGGTGTGAGACATTGTCACAAGATTATTTTTAAAAGAGATTTTCTCATTGTTTTGAATTTATGAAATGTTAAATAAGTTAAATACTTTTTAACCCGTGAATGAAAAATGTGTATTTCATTATTTTCTTCAAAATAAAAACAAAATTTTCCAAACAAAGATGTCCTTAATTGAGCATTGACATCATTATGTTACATAAATCTAAAAGTAAAAATATGGAGTTTTTTATGTGATACTTTGTGGAAAAGTTATTTCATAATTTTTTTTTTCAAAAATTTAGATTTTTTAGACTTATTTTGTTGGTTATATTAATTGTATTTTATTAACTTATAAATGTTTTAGACCTTTCGTTTTTCTATTCCGATTTTTAATCTCATCTATATATATTATATCTCATTTAAAGTTTTTTTCTTTCGTTTTACTAACTCTTCCATCATATTGCAAACTACACAATCAAATGTCTAAATCAAGATGGAAGCTACATTCTTTATGGTTTATTTTATGTTTTTATGTAAGCTATTTGTTGTTATTGATGTGTTGTATTTTTTTTTTTGCAGAATTTTTTTATCGTCGCTATTGTTGTTCTTTCTCCATAAAATTCATGTAAGAATTGTTACATTTTATATAATGATTTGTGTGGGTTATTTGTTGTTGATGGGTGCTTTTTATTCCACGTTATTATATTTTGTTAATTATTATTACATTTGTTTTTCTATGCATTATATATTGTAATTTTTGTTATGTAGAATGTTTTTATTGTCCATACCGAATGTTATTCCTCTATAAACTTTTTCTGGTAACAAATATTACATCTTAATTTATGATTTGTGTGGGTTATATGTTGTTGACGAATGTTTTGTTCAAAAATTTCTTCTCTATTATATTTTATTGAATATGATTCTTCATCATCCTTCTTTTTGGAATTTGTTTATGTTGTGTATGCGTTCTTTTTATGTGTCTTTTTATTTTGCGTAATTTTGTTTTATTAATATTTTTTATTTATTCAAGTTTTTATTTTTTTTGTTTTCTGACAACAATTAAATTATGATCAAGTGTGATCTATGTGGAGTTTTGTTATTATAAATTTTCTTCTCTATCTTTTATATTTATAGAGTTTCTCAATTTGTATTTTTATGTCATTCTCTGTATTGTGATTATTAATAAACCAGTATATATCATGTGACTGTTTGTCATTTAAAATGATACTTAAATGATGTTTATGTATTTATTTATTTGAAAAGAAATAAAATGTGATATCCATGTTGTTTTTGTATGTGTATTTGTTTGCTCTTATTAAATTATTTATATTATATGATATATGTTCTTTGTTTTATTATGCTTAAAATTACTTAAATTTGCTTAAACTTATATTTATTTATTTATATAATATCATATTTAAAATACGTAATGAAAAAATGATTTTTTTATTGGCGATAAATTGATTTTACTATGCAGACGGCGATATTAAAGACTTTGTATGAAAAAAAAAAAGAAAATTTTAATTTTTTATATATTCGGTGAATCAAAAAAAATTGTTTTGTTTAATATTTCGAATAAATTTATTTAATGATGGTTTAAAGTTTTAGTTATGTATTAGAATGATTGATTGTAATAACAATTGTCAGGATGACAATATGAACAAAAAAAATATGAAGGTCAATAAATTAATCATTATATTTATAATCTATAACTTTAATTAAAGAAAATGATATATACATGAGCTGACATTGTAATATTTAATATTAGTTTGATTATTTTTTGCTAAATAAATTATGGTCATCGCGCAACGCACGATGCACAAAACTAGTTTATCATTAAAAGAAATTTTAAAATTCATGTTTGAATAAAATAAAAGTTATAAGTGACGGTTAAACATGTCATGACTAATTTAATAACCTGGTAAAACCTCTAAAAATATCGACGTCGAATTAAAGATTATAAAACTATCAGTTTTTGTTTGATTTAAGAGTTTATTATAATTTAGATATATATTTGAAAATAAATATATAATTTTTAAAAATTTAACAATTTAGTATTTTTTTTAATAAATGTGATAATAAAATATTATGTTAATATTTTAATAGTTACTTATGATTATCATTTATTTAAACTAAAAGAGTATTCGCGTAATGCAGCGAGACACATCTTGATTTTAATGTTCTATTTTATTATTTGTTTCAGTCGATGTTATTATACGATTTTGTGTGTTTTTAAGAAAGAAATGATGCTTTTATTTTTGAATAAAATATAAATTTGAAGATATTGTAAAATTTTGAAAAAAAATATATATATCAATGTTAATATCAAATCAAATATTTAAAAGTTCTCATTTTTATGTAATTTCTTTAATTTTTTTTATTATAATTTAATTTAGGTTTAATAACGAAATAATTTATTTATGGTTTAATAATATAACATTTTATAAAGATAATAATTAAGTATTCTGTTAGAATTCAATGATTATCCTAATTATATTTTAGATTTTTTATATTTAAAATGATATGTTTATCCTGTATTTGATTATGTTTATCTGCAATTAGTTACACGAATTCAGACATGAAGCTTTAATAAGTTGTACCTACGCACAATCTACTTGCAATCTTGAGTTTTAAGTAATATGAATTAATAAACAGTACTTTACGCATAAAAAATGGTTTTTAAGAGTTTTTGTCAAATGCTTAATAATATAGTATAGACATGTTTATCAGTTACTTTTTAATTAGTTTTATAAAATCCAAAAATTCTGCAAAAAATGATATCTTTATCATGGGATAATTGTGTCATCCTTTAAATAATACAATGATAATAGATTTATCAGAGTTAAAACTATAATTAAAATATTTTGTAGTTATCTATTCGTAACTAGTTTATAATTTATAAAATAACTTTTTGTATTTTTAGTTTTTATTGAGGACGTGCATCGGGCGGGTCGGATGAATTTAGGTTAGCAAACCAAAAATCCGATCAAATTTCAGCAAGACCCGAATTTAGGTTCCTGATTTTGGACTGATTCGGGTTTGGGGTGATCATGTTTCGGATTGAGATCGGTCGGATTCAAGTATAATTATAATGCAAAGAATATATACAGATTTAATCGATTTTGATGATCAATCTAGTGGATTAAAAAGATTGATGAAATTGATAGTAAATTTATTAATTAAAAAACATTTTGACGGACCGAATATCAAGCCCAACCGAACCCGAATATCACAAAAAGTCGGGTTTCAGATTCTCGAATTCGAAACTATTCGATTTATTATGACATCACCATCACATTATATAAAACCATCAAATACCCACAAAAACCAATTGACTTGTCGTTTGCATAGACGCAGTGTGGATAATCCATAGCCAACGAAACCAGAGGCCCGTCCGTCACCCCCCCTTGCTCTCTGCGCCACAAATCCACAAACCCTCTCTCTCATGGCGTCTTGAATCGGAGTCACCTCTCATGGTGGTCGTGGTGGTTATGGTCATGATGATCACTCACTTCATCACATCCACACTAGTTTGCTTCTTCTATCGCTCTTGATATTCGTAATGGAGGCCGCACAACGTCGTCGTTTGTCAATCATCGCTTCTCATCTTCGCCCAATCACCTCTGCTTCCGAACAACCAAAGATTTCCTCGTCAATAGTCTCCCCCTCCCTTTGCGATTCTTCTTCTGATTCTGATAAACACTGCAATCTCGTCACTGATTGTGTTTTCTGTAAGATTATTCGAGGCGAAGCACCTGCTTTAAAGGTATATTTCATATGTGTTTGATTCCCTTTTGAGTTGAATTTTAGAACCCTGCATTATATATGCTTAATTATCTGCTGAGTTTTATATGCTTAATTATGGAAACATGGAAGGGTTTGAGATTTTGCACTGGTGGAAATTGATTACTTTATTGGAATACTGCAATAGCCATTAATAAACAGGCCGTTTGAGGAATCATGTCTTTAGGGTTTCAACCAAAATTACAATTGTATATCTTATTGATGTGGTCAATTTAAGGGTAGCAGATTTTGTTGAAGGACCAAATAGGATTTCTGGGAGACCTAAGTTCAGGATAACAGATGAATATATACGGAGTAGTAGCTATTATAGAGGGGTAAAAAGCCAACATGTATGATAGTAATGTCTTGACAATTTAAGGATTTTTCTGGTTATATTTTCCTATGTCTCATGCTCTCTGGCTCCTTTTCGAAATCCTCAAAACTCTAAAAAATTGCCAAAATTTCTGTTTCTTTCATGTCTCACCAAATCCTTTTTGCAAGCTGGGGGTCTTCATGGAAATAGCCTCTTTTAACCTTTGGGATAGAGGAATGGTTTGCATTCATCATACCCCTCATACCCTACTTTGAGTGAGATATACCTGGTATGTTCGATTTAACAGTTTAAGGATTCTAGTTGATGGGAGTGTACTCTATGGTGAAATTTGTAGATCACTCTGTTAGGTCTAGTAGTCTTTAGCATGACCACTTTTTTAAGGCCGAGTCAGCAATGCATGTGCCACAATTTTGGCACGCAAAGGGCTCCTCACTTGGTATTTGGTGGTATCACACTCATAGGACTTCTCGGATTTTCTTGCCATTTAAGAAAACATTCGTAAGTATGGCGTTCATCATCAATTATTTTTCTTTTCCTTCATGTTTTTCTTGTTTTTAGATATTATAATAGAAATCTAAATGTAAATGTAAAGCAAAGAAAAGTCGTGGCAATTCAGTGTCAACCTTCATCATCGGATATTTAAGCTCCTTCTCTCAAATGAAAGGGGTCAAGAACTCATTCAATCAGTACCATTTCCCACTTGGATCTATATCCAAAAATCTATTTGTAGGAGATGATGTTCACTTGGCATTTTGTTGGTATAAAAAGGCATGTTACTATGCAGAAATTCACCCATTATATGATGAACTGGTTATATACATGCGTGCATATAGTGTATTATATTATGCATAGTTTTGGTCAAATTGTTTTGTAATTTTGGGCTTCACATATCATCTGTGGATGGCTTTAGACATTGTTATCTGCACTGATCAATGAACATGAGAAATCCATATCGAATTGCATGAACTGATCAATGAACATGATATCACTTCTCTTATTATCGTTGAATTTTATTTGCCTACAGCTATACGAGGATGATGCATGCCTATGCTTTTTGGACACCAATCCCGTGAGCCCTGGGTAAGGTATCATATGTATAAGATGGCATTGAATGTTCTTTTTGCATCATTATGTGTAAAGATTTGTTTGTGAAATTTTGGTTTTACGTAATTGGTAAAACAGTAAAAGAGAATCATCGATATATACTATGCCATCTGATGCACTTTGCAAAGAATCTAGGAGAAAAAGAATTGAAAGATTGTGGAAGATATATTAAGAACTGAATTAGCCAACTTTTCAGAGAGCGGTACTCTCCCCCAAGAACGTCTGGTCTTTACAAGGAAACCGAATGCCCTATCCAGCTTTATACCCAAACATTACTGACGTCCAACTAACTCTCTGTTCTTAATTACTTCCCTTCAAGACTGATTTATATTAACTTCACTAAAACACCCTTGCTTTGTTTTATCTTCTATTCCTCCTTGCTGGTTTATCGATACTCGCCCTCCAGACTTTCACCTTGTCCTGATGGTGAAACCTAGGAAATTGAAGGTTTAAAACTTCATTATCTATTCAAGAAGATTCAAAAAGAGGCAGCCTGTTGCATTGAATCAACACCTCCAATATTCCTGGTTGACCTTTTTGTCGAGTCCAAATCTGTAGCACTCAGCTCTACCATCATTTCCATTTCTTCGTTTAGTTGTGTGGGCAGTGTTGTTGAATCCAATAGCCTGCTGTAATTTTGATAAATGAAACACTGTTGGTCGATCACTTCCATATATAGTTTTAAATGGTGAACACCTGAGAGAACTATGGTATGTTGTGTTATACCAATAATCTTCCCAAGGGATGTTTTCCCCACTGTTCTCATCTATTGCTCCACACACCTGTTAACTGCTTCCGATTGACCCTCCGATCGAGGGGGACAGGAAGTAGTATTTATCAATTTTGTTCCATGTAACTTGGAATTTTCTTTCCTGAAATTACTTAAAAATTTGTATCTCTATCCGTAATCAATGATTTTGGGATACCATGTAGCCTTACCACCTCTTTGATAAATTTTCAACCACTGATATGGCTGAAATTGGATGTCTTGGTCTTACAAAATGGGCATATTGTGACGACCACCACTACCATGATAATTTCCATTCTTCCGGTTTTGGTAACCCTTGAATGAAATTCAGTGTTACTTCTTCCCATACCATAATAATGGAATAGGATGTAATAAGCCAGCCGGTGATCCACCCAAATTGTTATTTCTTTAACATATAACATACTGCCTTACCATTTCTCTAACATCACTTTTCATTCCATCCAATATACCTCTGATAAGTTTGATTTTCTCCTGAATGCTCTCCTATAGGAGAACCGTTATTTTTAACAAAGGAATCATAGTTGAAGATCGAGGTAAAAACATCTGTCTTTGTGCCATAAAGCCCGTATTGTTGTAAAACCTTTATGTTTTTTTTTTCAATGTACCTCTTCAAAATCTTGCCCAACAATGCCTTTTGTAGTTTATTTCTTGATTTGATTCCATTATCTCCATGGAAGACCCGTCATTAAACCCCAAAGGTCTCGCAGTTGAGTGACATTTTTTGGTTGTGCCCATTTCACCGTTGCTTTCACTTTTTTTGCATCCATCCAGACACTACGTGTCCCAAAATACAACAGTTTCTTCTGTCCAAATTCACATTTCTTATAGTTGGCATATAAGTGGTTTTCCAACAATCTTGAACACCAATCTAAATGTTGGGTATGCTCCTTTTCACCCTACTGCATACCAATATATCATCAAAGAATACCAATACGTATTTTATAAGAAATGGCCAAAATACGTCTTCATGATTACTACAATGACACCATTTACCCAATGATTAATTTACTTTTCATCCTAACTGATTCTTTGACCAATTTTGATTTCATAGCTTGTCTTTGCTAATTCATATATGTTGATCTTGATCCTAAAGAGGCGAGCCATTGAATTATCATTAATAAATCTGAATTCCCCAGATTAATTGGCAACAAATCTTCTACTACTTCAATACCTTGCATCCAAAGTCCAGACCTTCACTTCTATACAAATTCCTTAACTTTTAATGGCCTCCCTTGCTCCCATTGATTTGCTGTTCTCTTCCTTGAATCTCACGATGATCCCCAATTTTTCCACTTAAGAAGTCAACGCGAAATTATTGGATGTTCCACTATCATTTAAAACTGCCACTTTTTGTTCCCCCGTAATACCTTCCACTTTCATTGTTTTTGAAGTGGATAACCCAACAATTTTTTTGATTAACCTGGATATCCAACCCGGTATGCGAGCCGACTAATCCCAGGGCGATCACTCGCTTTGCGGATAACCCAACAATTAGATACCTCAACATTTTGATTGGTTTGTATGTTTTCCAGTTCGTGGTACCTTCTTCCATCTCACTTCGGCTCTTAGTTCTGGTTGCTAGTTTGTTCACAAATTGGCTTACATAAACTTTTTCGGGAATTCCATTTAATGGTGCTGCTAAGGATACACATTTTCTTTTATAATATATCACCGTCCCTTCTTGTTTCACAGCCGAGAACTTGCTGTTGATTGAAATTGATTCTGTATCAACCTCTAGAATGCTTCCCATAAGAGTACCCGTCTTCTTTTGGTTTCCCATTGGAGCATCACCTTTCAATCTGTCACCGATTACTTTCCATCCAGACTGCCCTTTATCAACTGCCGCTACTGTATACTAAAGTACCCTTTTATCTTTTCTCAGTGCTGGTTTATCACCATTCACCACTGTTTAATTCTAAAGGTTTATAGCACAATTAGTCTAACTTGCAACACCATCAAATTCTATGTGGTTACGATTTTTCATTTTATGGGTATTTCAAGTTCTTATCTTTATTTCTCTTTTCTGTCAAAAGCAAAATGTTACACCATTACACTTCACTCGTAAAATAAAACACGCTGCATGCTTTTAACAGTAGAAATATTTTGGCTGGATTTTGCACGAACTAATTTTTCTTGCCATCTTGTCAGGCACTGCCTTATTATTCCACGATGCCATTTTCCATCTCTGGTGACAACTCCCCCATCTGTAAGTTCCCATTAATATAATAGTATTTGACATGCTGTATCAGTCTTTCTTTTGTTTCCTGTTTATGTAAAGATTCCCCAATAGATATAGAGATCAAGTGATCAACGAATGTTTAGATTGCCAATATGGCATCAATTGTGATATGCTTCTTAAAGATACATGTTTCTACTTGATTGAACATCTTGCTGATTAGAAATCTTCGAATCCGTTATCCGTAAGTAACGAAGAATAATACAGAGCGACTCTTTCATCATGTGAGAATTTTAAACTCAAAAGAAGATTGAAATCTTTTATTATTATGAAGTTCTACACTGGAGGCTTATTCAATTAGGGTGTTTTTGGTATGTGTGGGATGCGACGTTTAGAATGGGATAGGAAAAGACTAAGTGGGACAAAAATGCATTTTCTGAACAAAAATCAGGGAGATGGTACAAGATTGGTAAATTACTAAACTGCCCATGTCAAATTAAAACCCCAAGACCTTGCCCCACTTCTTTCACCCACATACCTAGCTCTGCCTGTTCAATGCTATCCAGTCCCGTCTGTGAACCAACTACACCCTTAGAAGCCTTTCTTTCTGTATAAAACCTTAAGTTTGTGATTATAGATGTTTCATCAATGTAAATCTATACTTTGATTTGGTAGCTACTGGAGTTTCATTGTGTACGCTGATTGATAAAACTTCGAAGGCGATTAATCATGTAAACCACAATAAGTTAGAGCTCTTGTACCAAACCAGTTTAGAAGCATCGTTTCTTGAGATTCATCATGTCCTGAATTGTAGAAAGATTCTTGTTTTGTGCCATGAAAAAGGTCTTAAAAGCCATCAGTTTTGGAAAAAAGGATTTGTTAAGTGTAACAATAATGTGGTGATCGATCCTACAGGTGGTAGCTGCCATGTGTTCAAAAGTCCCCTATATTAGCAAGGCAGTCATGAAAGCCACTAATTCTGGTATTTCCTATTCTGTTTTCTTCATACTTACTATGAGTTTCTTATAGGAAGACTGATTTTAATTAATCGTAGAAAAATCAGAGGATACTTTAAAGATTATTTCCTAAATATTGAAGTTATGTTTTTGTAGACTTCAAATAACCATACGCTATGTTTGGCAAACTAGCTGTTAGCAGATATATATGTCACTTTTGATAAAAACTTGTTGATAAGCTAGATGACTGTGTAAAATGGACCTAAAAGGCTACGGTTTTTACCTTCCGAAACCCTACCTCTGGATGGGATATACTGCTTGTGTTTGGTTTGATTTATACTAATAACAATCGACTTCCTTTTTCAGACTCGTTCAACTTGTTAGTCAATAATGGCGTGGATGCAGGCCAAGTTATATTTCATGTGAGTATCGAAAAGTGTAGAATATAATTAGGGTTCTTCTTGATTCTTGTTAGGAAACCCGAGTTATTACTTGACACAGTCTTGAAGAATCTGATGATGTTTTTGTTATTGTTCTTCCTGATTCAGACACACATCCATATAATACCTCGGAAGGCACGAGACTGCTTATGGGCTTCTGAGGTATGCTATATAACTATTACTTTTTGCACCTCCATATTTCATTGCTCTTTTGTTCCATAATTAGGGAACATTTGGTATGTGAGGAAAAATGAGACAGGATAGTACAAAAACTTGTTCCACGTTTGACACGTCATTAGATGGGTCACCCGACAGTAACAAAAATGCATTTTTCTTTTCTTCCCCACCAAAATAGGTTGAATAAAAATCAGGAAGATGAAACAAGATTGGTAAATTACTAAAGTACCCATGTCAAGTTAAAACCCTAAAACCTTTCACAAATTTTTCACTCACCTACCTCACTCTAGTCCGTCCAGTCTTGTCCGGTCTTGTCGGTGTACCAAACGCACCCTAGTGTCTAGGGTTTTGTTCTTAAGACATCATGGAAATAGCCTCTTTACCCCTTTGGGACCCTAAACCTTAAACTCTAAAGAGGCAGTCTATGTACATCCTACCTCCGAGACACTGTCTCTGGGATTTACCGGGTCCATTTGGTTTGGTTTCTATTCTTAGACATCAAGCCTGGTACACCTAGACCGAAATGCATATGAAAATTATATAAACCCTAAAGATTAACAAACTAATTATAGTTAACGTGGTTAGTACGTTACATAGTTTTCGATATTGAAGATTAGAAACCCTCAAGATTAGCAAACTAATTATGGAACAAAAAAGGGTATGGACAAGATTCTCTTTTTTGCTTTTTAATTTTGTAAATTACAGAGCTTGCAGAGGCATCCCCTAAAGCAAGACCAAGAAGCCTTGCATCTTGTTAATAACATTAGGCAGCATTTGTCATTTGTGGATGGGTTTGAAGATAGCAAAGATCATGGAACCACTCTCATTGGGGGCTAATTCATGGGGTTGGATTTCCTTATTTGTAATTTTATCCAAATATTTTACTTTTTATTTTTATATTTTATTTTTAAGAAGTTGATTGTACAAATTGGAGAAATGAGTTGCAGTTTGTTTTTTCTAGTAACCATTTGGATATGCAATTGGTGTTTACAGATTTCGAGGTCTTTATGGAAACAATCTCTTTACTTTTTTGAGTAGAGGTAAGATTCGCCCTACCTTTTTAGACCTTTTGATTCAGCTCTACTTCTCAGCCTTCTGGGTACATCTTACATTTTCAGACCCTACTTTGCGATAATTTGATTCAGCAAGGACGACTCATAAACTTAATTTACAACCAAAACTAGAAAAATTATCACATTCTATATTGTGAGTTTAAATGGAACAGGTAAGGGATGTACAGATCATTGGCATGAATCACATCTACCGAGACTTTTCATATCCCGATTTGGGCGAGTGGGTAGATATAGTGAAATTGATTGCTGACTAGGGTAAGTGTTGCTCTTATCTTTTACTCGACCATTGTACGGTCAACAATAAGTCTAGGTAAGAGGTAGTTTTTGTTTTGGTGAACATGTCAGCTCTTACTTAGACAAAAGCCTCTTACCGGGTAAGAGGTTAGTAAACACAACCTAAATAGCATCTTAAGGGTAATCTTGTAATTTTAACAGTTTTGTTTTATCATGTCCAACTTACCAAACACAAGATAGATAATTAGTACTATAAACTTTTTTAAATTGATCCCATAATATTTTTTTTGAAATTCACACTTTTTATATTATAAAATTTATTTGTTATAGATATACTTTTGACTTTTCAAAATTCTTTTAACTTCAAATTTCTACTCCCATTGTCAAAATTCATGGACCCGTTGCCGAGTCCTATTCTAATCGTACCCAATACATATATAAAATAGTTATGTCATATTCACTCCTGTCCAATCTAGTTCCATCCTAGAAACACATCTAATCCGCTACTTTGGACGAAACTCGAACTCTAGTCGCAAGTTCTTTTTGAAGTATATAATATATTTTATATACGATAAATGCAACAAATAAACTCACACACTTTTCTCACTGTTGGCGAGATTTGAACCCCTGACCATAACTTCCTTGCTTTGACTCGTTGACCATTAAACATCGGTTGATGCTATATTGCTATTCTAACAGAAGAAGGTAGCGATTGAAATAATAAGACCAATCATATCCGCCTGTGATCTACGCCCATTCTTGCCTCCTTCCTCCTCCTCCCACAAAACCATCCTTAGAGATAACTGGTAATTATTATCTATTACTGTTAATTGTAAATAAATAAAGACCTTCCAGCCTAGTGGTAAAGGCTTGGGCATGGCATAGTCATGAACCCAAGTTCGAACCCTGGGAAGGGAAGTGTTGGCGACATTTAAGTGGGACCATGTTTAGCCTCCAAAATTGCCGGGGATTAGTCGGGCTTTGGCCCGGACACCCTTACAAAAAAAATACTAATAAAATTTAAATATTACTAATATCAATAAATAATAATTATTAATTAATATAAATTGTATATTAATTATTAGTTAGTTTATATTATAATTATACATTGATATTATTTATCAACTATTACAATAATTATTAATTATATCAATTATTTTCATATTATT